CCTCCCCTCCCCTCCCCTTCAGAACTCGAGGAGCCCGGGAGCATGGACCAAACCCCGCTGCTCTGGCATGATGACGCTCACCCGGTTCTGGGTGGCTCTGGTTTTAGGGGCGATCTCCGAAGTGGTCAGCTTTGATTCTATTCTCAGTTACTCTCGCCACCTTCCCATCCAGCCGCGACAGCAGAAAACGCCGCTATCGCGCCTCCCTGCCCACCGCCTGCATGCTGTCCCTGCGGCACACACTCCCCGGCAACACCCTAGGGGCTGCCCTGCCGGCGAACCGTGGGTCAACGTGACGGACTTCGGTGCTGCCTGTCTACGCTGGGCGGAGGTGCCCCCCTTCCTGGAGCGGTCGCCCCCGGCGGGTTGGGCGCAGCTGCGAGGACAGCGCCACAACTTTTGTCGGAGCCCGGACGGTGCGGGACGACCCTGGTGCTTCTACGGGAACGATCATGGCAAGGTGGACTGGGGCTACTGCGACTGTAAACATGGTGAGTAGCCTGGGGCAGCGGCAGCGACTGAGTCTGGTGCTGAGCCTGTCTGGCTTGGGGGCGGGCATAGGTGTCTCTTGGAAAGAGCATGTGGGGTGGCGGGTTTGCCTTATGTGTTGTGTTCGTGGGCTACTACAAAGTCCATTGGTACCATAATTAAAGTTACCCATGTATGCAATGTACGCGGCGCAGGTTGTCAGGGGTGACAGTTTCTATGTAAGGTGCTGTTTGGGCTCTTGTCTTCTGGCAACTCTGTGTATGTTGGGTGGATGTGTGTTCTCTAGACTCATTTGCCTTGAGGATGTTACTGTATTTACATAAAAGAGACAAAGATAATGAAAATTTTAAGTTGCCAATGACTTGTTTTGGAAAGGGAAATATTAAATGTAATGTGACAACCAGTAACCTACTTTCCCCTCCCCATAATCCCTATTTGAAAAAAAAGGTGGTCAACTTTTTGTTTACTTAATTCCATCATTGAGTTCTGTTTGAAAAAAAAAAAAAAAAGGCAAAATTTGCATTTTTCTAGTTTTGTAAAATTAAATCTTTTAACTGACCCTAAGTCAAAATAGAGCTTGTCAGAGTGATGTACGATTCTGGGGGCATGACACTCATATGGTAAATCTCATCAGGGATTGAAAGAAAGAAAAAGGGGAAATAGGTGTAGTGATAACTATCTTAGTGTAGAAGCAACCTGATATAGTTAAATGCAGCTAATTTCTACCATTCAGCTTTATGTTATTTGTTGGAAATTGAAATTAAGTCGCAGTATCAAAATATGAAGTTGATAAGGTCTTTTAATTTTGTGAGAATTTTAAAAGCATTATTAATACATGTAATGTATAAGGAAAATCTGTCTTTTAGCAGAAGCTTATTTTGAATTATTGAGGTTTTGGTAAATATTAGGTGTTTTTTTTTGTTGTTGTTGTTTTGTTTTTTTAAAAAAACAAATCTTATTTAAACAACCAGGGAAGAAAATCCTTATGTCCTTCAAAGTTTGAATTCTCCTAAAAACAATTTTTTGGCAGATTTCCATCCAGCAGGTGGGGGAGGAACTTCATGAATTGAGATCCTGAAACATATACTTTAAACTTTGGAAATTAGCTTTTTCAATGTCATTTTTCCCCCTACAGAAATACTATTTATCTCTTCTTTCAATTGCATTAGTGTTTTGAGTTAAAGGAAAATGTAGGAAGGTTAAGATCAATTGTCCTTCATCCTAGAAAATGAAGTCATCGCTATAGTTGTGTTTCATGCACTGAATGTAAATGTGACTATAAAAAAATTGTGATGCTATCAAGCAAAGAGCCCTATCACTCACTGTCTTAATATTTACTGTAAAAGAGTATTTGTAGTAAAATCTAAGATTTAGCAAACACTGACAAAATTTTTTCTTACTGTTTTTGTTTTTATAAATAGATAAAGCTGCAAAATTATTAGGGAATATATATGTGAGAAAGAACAGACCAAGTTCCCTTTAAATATGTATCAACACACATCAAAAAACAGAATAGAGTTTAAAGTTAAAAACTACAGTGATCTGTTATTGCTGTTTCTGATACATAATTCAGCTTTAGATTCCAATTGAGAGTAGTTTGTTCTTAGGCTCCTTGGCCCTGCTCCTCCTTTTAGTTGAGTATATTTAAATATTTAAATTTAACAGCTGCTCAAATGCTTTAGGCTACCTTTATGTTCATAACTAACTCTCACTAAACAAAATCCTAAAGAACACTTGCTAGCTGTTTGTACTATGTGGAATAGAGTGATTGAACAGAACAGAAACAAAAGACGCCACCCAAATGGGAGCTAAATGCCTTCCTGCCACACACACACACAAAGGAAAGCAATCAGCTATGTAATCATTGAATTATGTTCAAAGATTCAGTCAAGGTATTCAAATTTTCCCACTCTGTCCTTTACTTCTCAGGTATTGGTTAGGCATAATCCATACCTTAGAAGTGACTGACATATTCTGAATCTTACGAATCTCTTAGTCCTACATTTCAGTTAGATGTGTGAAGTAGAAGCACCCTCAAAAGGTGAAAAGAATATTGAATTATATTGTTGTGTTTTAGAAAACATGGGTATCAATTTTGGCTGTCAGTAGTTATGCAATGTTGGGTAAGATTCTTAACTCTTTGTTGTCCTCATCCAGAAGAAAACAGCTTTTGAATAGATTGACACGAAGGACCTTCCCAGCTCTGACCTGGTCTAATAAGACCAGGATTTATCCAGCTTGCATTCTGTGCGGGATGATGCATTAACTACTATAATGCTCATTTTTTCATTGATTCTTGCAGCAAATTTATAAGATAACATCTTACAGATGAAGATACCAGATGGTGTAGTACTAGGTGTGTAGAGCAAATAGGATTAAATACACACATTTTCACCTCATAGCTTCTTGGAAATACCTGTGCTCCTCTTTTTGTACATACGTGCTAGCAAAAAAGACATAGAGAAGGGAATTAAGTTTCGTTCAATTAACAGGATTTCTAGTCTGATGGCTAGAAAATCTCCAATGGTTCTTTTTCTTTCTTTTTTCCCCTCTTTCTTTTATGAAAAGTGATATGAGCCATAGAAAAGAATTTATAGTAATGAGATCTTTCCTTTAAGAAATTAAACTGGTAGTGAGAGTCGTATCCAGTTGCATGGAGAGAAATGGGGAACTTGGTGGAGAGTTAATTGAAGCCCAGTTGAGGGGGTGGCATGAGGAGGGGGTGGATGCAGTCCCAGGTGAGCCAGGGCAAGCTATGTGGATTTGGTTGGCAGAAAGGGTCTATGGGAATGCCAGTGGCTCAAATCTCTGGGAGTTGGAAAAATGATGCCTGGGCCTTAGTTGTGTGAGCCTTGTTAATCTATAATAAGAGTCATTCAGTGGACAACCTGAAATTGACTGTGTGGAATGGTTCACGAAGTAGACAACCAAATCACATCAAGGCTTGTTAAAATACACATTCCTGAACACTCAAGGCACTGATGAGGTAATTCTTAGTTGGGGCTCAGGAATGTACATTTGTATTGAGTAGGCAAGGTTATTTAGGTTCAGGAAGACCTTCTTGCCACATTCAGCTGTGATAGGGCATCAAAACCCACCTAGAGTATATAATGGTGGGTGATCGTGTAGATTTTCTGAACCTACCATCCTGTCACTTAAGCCTGACAAAATCAGGCACTAGGCATGCTGATGGCCACTTTTTGTGTGGCTTACAAATTGGCAGTGCTGTTTTTGGTTTGTCCAAAGTGGGATAATAGTGACCTAGTTCACCAGTATATGATGATTAACTGAATGGGAAACAGGTTATTTTCAAACATCTAGAGAAGGAACTAACAAAGCTGGATTCCTCCCCATCTCCCAACAGTTCCTTGCAATAATTTAGAATCTTAACTGGGAGGGCAATCCCTTTTCCAGTCTCTGGTTGCTATCTGATTGCACACCAGAGGGGGCAATTTGCTTGATGCCTTCGCTAGGAACTCCACTTTGTTATGAGAAGTCAAGTGAAAATCAGTCATGAGTGGCAGACAACTGATGGGTAAAAAGGGCGAGTAAATGATAAATGATCTCATAATTGAGTTTTTTTACCCCAGAGAGTGATTCATAGATCTCATTTTTGGTCATGTCACACTAATCTATTCATATGCACTGACCCAGCCCCAAATCTCTTAATTCAAATTGAGAAAGCAGACATGTGGGACAAGTACTATTGTTTAAGGCTGTACTCTTTGAAAGTCCATCTGTTGTTTGAAGTAAATGCTAATTAAAAAGTTGGCTGAAAGCTTCCCCCTACTTTAATTTTTTTCTTCAATTCCACATATTGAGTCTATGTAGCAGGTGCTGAAAAAAATTGTTAGCAGTACCAGATTTGAGACATTCTTTGGCTGGCTATTAAATATTTAGATTAATATGCTTTTTAGGCTAAACCAGATTGTTAACTATTTTTGATTTGGGGTATATCTGACTATTAACTAAACTGAAGATTCTTTTGAAGGAAGAGGAGATATATAGTGACTACTTTTTCTGAGCTGTTATCATTAAGGTAAACTTTGTAAAAGTAATCAGGTTTATAACTGTGAGTGCAAACCTAGCTACTCAGTATAAGAGGCCACTAGCAATACCTTCATTTGATGGACATTAGGATAAGTACTGGGCTGCAAGGTTAGTTTGGACTGCAAGGTTGGTGGTTCAAACTTACCATCCATTCCTTGGAAAACCTATACTGGGTCGCTATGAGTCACAACTGACTTGAGGGCATTAACAGCAACAACATGAAGAGACTAAAAGGAGCCTTGGTGGTGCTTTGGGCTAGGAATTGGGCTGCTAATCACAAGGTCGGAGGTTCAAACCCACAAGTCATTCCAAGGGAGAAAGATGAGGTTGGCTACTCCAGTAAAGACTTATAGTCATAGAAACCTTCTATATAGTCACTATGAGGAGGACTAGAGTGCGGGTGTGGCACTGCAGATAATGCATTGGACCCTAAGGTTGGTTTGAACTGTAAGGTCAGCGGATCAAATTCATCAGCCACTCCTTGGGAACCCTATACAGTGTTGCTATGAGTTGGAACCAATTTGGTGGCACTTAACAACAACAACTACATGAGTAGGAGTAGACTTTATAGCAGTGGGTTTGGGTTTGGATTTTTATGCAGTGACTAAATTGAGCATTGTAAAAACTGCGGGAAATGCTTATAATAAAGTTAAGAGAAGAAGATGGACACGAAAGGACTAACTATGCGAAAACACGGATGCCTATGGAAAGTTTGGAAGAGGAAAAAAATGTAGTTATGTATTTGGGTATAGCTATTTTTGATGGCAAAAGACTAGAAAACCCAACTTGAGATGACTGAAACAATAAGAAGATTTATTATTTATATCATAAGAAGTCCTTGTGATGGGCAGATTCTAGCATGGTATAATAGGGCTATGGTGCTGTGGGTTAATGCACTGGACTGCAAGGTTGGTTTGAACCACAAGTTTGGCAGTTCAAGCTCACCAGCTGC